ATTACGCTCTAATAGAGCTTGAATCAAACTTTGTTTTTAGTTCACCTCAAAACTAGTCCACGTACCAAAAAGCCTAGCAGTTTCCTCTTAAACAACTACACTCCTGTTTTTCTTTGCTCTTCTTTTTTCTTCTCTTCCCTTTCTCTTTTTCCTTGACATTGTCTGGTTTCTGGGCAACCAGGACTGACAGATTCGACTTATGTACAGTAACAAATGGGCAAAGGTCCACGGACAGCCCAGACAAACAAATGGACCCCGTTATGCAACAAGGAACTAACCGACAAAGCGGTGAAAAATGAGATATCAACTTTATGTGAACCGAAATTTGTATATCTAGCGATAGGCAACACCCAACCACACGTTGGAACTACCGCTGCCATCTATTGAGCAATAGTTGTATTTTGCAAAACCGTGAGAAGAAAACATTATATTTTTAAAATGTATCCAACTCACTCCGGTTCCAGGTTGCTAAATTCAGGATGTTGGTTCCATAATGGGTATCGATACACTTAACTACGCGGTAAAATATTTTTGACCGAATTTAACTTGCAGATAAAAAATCCAAAAAGGACTCAGGCAATAGTTGTGACGGGTATAGCGTCAAAATATCCAACCTTCGACAAGGCAAAACAGTGACATTTGACATGGAGAAAACCACGACTTTTAACAAATATAATATATTATAAAACACAACTGTGGAATTTAGGCGGGGAAACTGGGGGAGTCTACTTTCAACATATGGATTGAAGGTGAAGTAGACCGTGGCGCTCAGGAAGTAGGGTCGTGCTTAAGGACATATTTCCTGACAAAATTTCCAAAAATATGTCATTCTTTGGAGCGATTCGTGTGGAGGCCAAAACTGAAACATAAAGATAGTGCTCCTTTTGGAGGAACTGAAACAGTTAAAATCCATAAGATTGAGGTTTCTTGTAACTGGCCACAGTTTTTTGCCAAACGACAGGGATTTTGGGGACTTAGAATGCGCGATTAAAAAACAGAACAAAATATTTTCTTCTAAAGATTACATGGACATCATGAAAACGTGTAGAAAAAACGTGCAATTACTGTCCATAAATAAATTAGAAAAGAAAATAGTCAACAGAAAGAAGACTGTGAATGACAAAAAATCCACTGGCTACACATCAAAGAAATTAAATTTCTTAAAGAAAAAGCTAACAATATTTTTATGAAGGAATCTTATGATGAGGATGAAAAACATATAGAAATAAGCATTAAAAAAAGAAAAGGACAAACTGAAATTGAATGACATTCAGAGCTACCTTCACTTGATTTCAGGTGCTGACCACGGATTTTACACCCATTTAACTGTCGATGAGGCAACGCTTAATTAGATTTTGAACCAGAAGACCAAAGCCTAAGTGATATGTTACATAAGCAATAAGGAACCAAATGTTTTTTTCGGGATAAGGTGCAATTATAATTTAATTGTTTTTTGTTAGAACATCTGTTGTATAAACGTTTTGATTTTATATTCACATCACGTGTTTTGTTAGGTGAATACGTTGATGTACTCGTAGTACCAATAACGATTTTTGCTGTTTTCTAAAAACTACCTTGCTGTCGGTTGGTTCTGTGTTGCATAACGGGGTTCAAAGGACGAATAGTAGTAGAACACTGAGTGAAGTGTTCCTTCATTTTTAAAAACTGCAACCGATGATGAAATCCAGATGGGGAACGAAAGCAGCAAGTACCTAACAGGAAACTGCCAGAACGGCGACAGCCGGTTTTAGAAATAGATAGTGAATACTTTTAGTTCAAGCATAAATCAATTAGTTAATAATTGACATTAATAAACAAGTATTATTTTTTTTGAAAAACTTACAGTTATTGTGGAACCGTCAAGACCAGTGATTATGATGGTCAGATGACCAAATGCCGAGAAGATATTCTTATCTGGTTACGTGACACGTTGTTCTGTTTTACTTGAACATTTAGCAACCAAGAAAATCACGGCGGAAGGATTAAATTGCAGAAAGTGGTGGTGAACATCATCCATGTTGTTTTTTATCCCACATTTATTCGTGAAGGGGATCTTATCATCGATGTGCTCCCTCAAGTCCACCTTCCACCCGGCTTATCCGAGACTGGAGTTAATGTCAGGAATTCATCGTACTCGAGGGATCCGTCATATTTTTTGGTGGAGAATAGGAAGGGGAAAAGGAAGTGGAAACATTCAGACATTTTCATCACACCCTGGAAAAAGCTAGCAGGTGGTACGGCCTCGATCAGCTGGTCATTGTCTACCACCTTCTAAACATACTCCAATGTGGAAAACAAAAAATGTAAAATAATTTTAATGTTGCAGGCTAAAATTCAGAGTGTACTTCTTTACACATTTTCTGACGATAGTGTGATCGTCTCACGTGTCATATGTTCTGCTTTCTCCTGTACTACTCCTATAAAAGCATAAAAACTCAAGCACAGATCGTGCAAGAGGCATAAAACGTATTATACATCCACAGAGATTTATACTTACACTTGAGTCCTGGTTAGCATGAAAAACAAATAAAAAAACCATTAGTATATGGAAATAATTCTGGATACTATTAACTAAGGGCAATAAAGCGTTATCTTGGGAATCGCTGTAAGATTTATGTAAGGTTTGCAGTAAATATCTGAAGTTTGCTGTACTCGTCGAAAATAAAACACAAGCTTTCTGAAAAATTATTTAATTTAATACAGGATGAAATTAAAAGGTATCAATCATAATGGAGTATTTTTCAAAACCTTCGTTTACACGTATCTTTAATATTTGGCCCCTAAAGGTATTCACTCTTTCCATGAACAGTTACTGACTCTCCAGAGTATGGAAGTAAAATTTCGCCTCCATAAAACTCATAACATACAGGGTTATCCAAATTAAGTGTCCACCATTAGTAACTTTGTTATTAGTGAAAATACAAAGTTGTTTGAATTAGCAAACTAGTAGCATTTTTAACGCTGGTAAAAATGAGAAATAAAAAAAAAACAATTGAGAGTCGTTATTTTGATTTTTTTCAGTAAAATAACATTTTTTTAAATGGAAACCCCTGTATATTATATTTTTTTCTGTTAAAGCATCAAATTTTAAACAAAAAAGCTTACAATAACTTTTCTCCTAGGTTACAAATTGTTGAAGTTATGGCCTCCAATCTGAAACAATTAAATTGTATCGACAAACTTTATTTTCAACATCAACTTATAATCTTACAAAATACAATAACAATTTTTTTTTAAAGAAGATGCTCGAAAACACCACCTTGTTCTTCAATACATTTTTGGGCACGTTTTTCAACTGCTCGAACTGTCTTAAGTATGGTCCTACCATCTATCTGGGTTATCTTTTCCCTAACTGCAGTCTTTAACGCGTCAAGGTTATCGTACCTTCGCTTGTAAATTTGGTTCTTTAAGTAACCCCACAAGAAGTAATCAAGTGGGTTTAGATCTGGTGATCTGGGAGGCCACTGTATTGGGCCATTTGTTCCTATCCACTGATCATTAAAAGTAGTACTTAGAAAATGATAAGTACCTCTGGAGTTGTGGGCAGGTGCGCCATCTTGCTGAAAATGCAGATGATGTCTACTTATAAGATCCAATTCGTCTAAGAAATTAGTCAGAATTTCTGACATAAATTCCACATATCCTTCACCAGTTAGGGTTCCCTCATAAAAGAACGGGCCAACAATTTTTGAACCAATTATACCGCACCAAACGTTGAAACTGAAACGGACTTGTGGGCCTCTTGGATGTACTAACAAAGATTTTCTCTTGACCAATAATGGTGGTTTTTTCTATTAAACATTCCAGAATTTGAAAAATTTGATTCATCTGTCCATAAAAGGTAACGAAAGTTATTTATATTTTGGCGACAGACGCTAAGATACCAATGGCAAAAAACAAGTCTTCTCTCTGGATCCCCTGCCAAAAGCGTTTGAACTGGTCGGTACTTATACGGAATAAATTTGTATTTTTTTAAAATCCTTTGAACAGTACCATAACTGAAATTAGAGTCCTTGAGAATATCTGCTATTGAATTCTCACGATAAGCTTCAAAATATCCAATAACTGCAATTTCCGTGGCCTCGCTTATTATGAATTCTTTTTTTGCCCTTGTTTTAGCAAAAACATTTCGTTGCCCCTAAATTTTCGATAAAGTCTCAGAAAATATCGTTCATACGATTGAATGCGAGCGGGATATAATTCACTGTAGTATTCTCTTGCTCTCAAGGAGGATTTCTGCACACTAAATAGCATTCTAACATATCACACTTTTCTTCATGGGAGAACATTTTTCTTTAAATTAATGACACAATAAAGCTTATAAACAAGTATTTACACTAATGTTTGACATTATTTGATTTTATCATTGTTTTCCAAAGCCTTCTAGTTGCGAGTATGTCCAGTTTAACAATTTGTCGCTTATCTTAATGCTGTCAAATCGCGAACGCCATGTTGTTTTCATAGCCGTCTTAATATTATAATACTGCAAATAATTAAAAATATTTATCGTTATTTTGACTTTATTTTTGACTTTAGCGGAAAAGTCATTATGAACTTTTTTGTTTAAAATTTGATGCTTTAACAGAAAAAAATATAATATACAGGGGTTTCCATTTAAAAAATGTTATTTTACTGAAAAAAATCAAAATAACGACTCTCAATTGTTTTTTTTATTTCTCATTTTTACCAGCGTTAAAAATGCTACTAGTTTGCTAATTTAAACAACTTTGTATTTTTACTAATAACAAAGTTACCAATGGTGGACACTTAATTTGGATAACCCTGTATAGATTTAATGCTATATTTCGAATAAATTGCTGTCCTAACAATTGGAAGTTTGCGCTGAAAATAATGATCCTGAAACCAGGAAAGGACTCTAATCGAGTAGCTCCTCATCGACCCATAAGCCTACTACGGGTGGTCTAAAAAGCTTCTGGAAAATATACATAAAGAGATTGCCGGAATTTTTTGTGAAAACTAAATTAATCCGGGACTATCGATTAGGCTTCCTGGAAATATATGGTACTATTGTGCATAGGACTGACTATAAATAAAATTAGTGAGGATTTTAACAACAAAATAAACTGTTCCGCTGCCTTTCTCGATGTACCACAGGTACTTCATATTAAAACAATGGGAGCGTTCAGCCAACGTAAAGCCGTCCAACGGCGCAGCGCTTTTATGTTGAATAGCAGAAGCCATGAAATAGCTTTGACAGTTCGCAATATTAATCAGTATGCTATCATATGCGACAGCCAAGTGGAAACTGTTTTCAATCTGAGAAAGTTATTTCATTGCTACTGCTATTCGGCATAGATCACTGCACCGCTGGACCGCTTTACGTCGGTTAAACAATCCCATTGTCTCCCTCATCCTCATGACTTGCTTCTGAAATGGTACCTGATAAATGGGTACCTCTACGTAAAGCATGATACTGGATCCACATTAATTAAGCCTATCGATACAGGAATCTTACAAGGAAGCGTTTCAGGACCCATCCTCTACATTCTGTATACTGCAGATTTACCAACTGCAAGTGATTCATTCGTGCAGTTATATGTGTAGATGATACGACTGTCTAAGCATGACATGGGAATCCAGATATGACATCGCAAAATGTATGGAGAAAGCTGCTCGAAATTGCGGACTGACCAAGGAAATGGCGCATAAAGGTTAACAAAACCAAATCCACACCTAAAAGGAAACAAATGGGTATCAAACTCAAGAGATGTATTGAATTACTCGTGGGAAATCTGTCATTGGACAACAAGCTATTACTATACAATGCTTTATTAAAACCAATTTGGATATATGGCATTCAGTTATGGGGTACAGTAAGTAACAGCATGCTTCACATGTTCTAGAACAAGGTCCAGAGAATGATCGTTGACGCATCATACTGCGTTCCCAATGAAATGATTTAGCGTCTCATCTCTCTCCCTACCATCCAGGTGATGATCCACAAATTTAGTATTAAATACAGTGATAAGATAGAAACACACCCTAACTATATGTGTCTAATAATGGGCTAGTGTTTTAGTTGAAACATTATTGGCCCTCTGGCTTGGAGATAGGACAAACGATAGTCTCAAGTGATATCATAAAAAACTAATTCAATATCAGATAGAGATTGCTCACCGGAATGGTACTAATGTCTTTTTTTTGTTTAGATTAGTCCGAAAAACATGCTTATTGGATACACGGTCGGATTGCCGCTTTCTCTCCAGAGTTATATTAGAAATTAAATATCGCGTGCACTCAATTGGATATAGTATATATAGTATAAAGTACACCCGATAATAGTAAATTTATTAGAAAGATTCTCTAGGTGTATGTTTGTTTAGGTTAGGAAAACAAAGATCGGCTTTTTTACTATATCGGTAAAGTGAAAGTAAGCGATATTTGTACCTTACGTTGTGCAGTGCTGTTTTAATGTGTTCATTATGCTCAGAGTGAGAACACGAGAAAATTTTCTATAGCTTAGCGAGTTTGATAGGGGTCGAATAGTGGGCTTGTGTGAGGCTGATTGGTCCTTTAGAGAAATAGTTACCAAGGTGCACGTCTAAATACGGTGGTGATTTGTTGTCGGGCATGGAATCAGGGAGGCCGTATAAGAAGAGTTTGAGGTAGAGGGCATGTCAAAACAATGGCTACAACAAAATCGCCGCATTAGACTTTTGGCTCTACGGGGCCGCTTCTCGTACATAAGGTCATTTACGGACTAATGGTTTGGAGAGCATGGAAGCGTATTACAATGCCCGTTGTTTATTGCTGCATCTGTCACTCCTAGGCACACATTGTCCACCATTATCTTGAGCGGTTAAGCCAAATTCTGTTTACGGCCATGCAAGGATGATAAGGCGACGAGGTGAGAGACGAACTTCTCAATTTTTCTATGGAAACGTATGTGTGCCACACTGTTGAAGCTATGGTACCTGGAGCTATTGCTTATATTGGATTATCCATTAGGGGCGCAATTTTTTGTCAGGTTGTCTAGGTTACGTTTGACACTAGAAATGTCATGGTTTATTGACATTTGTAAACTACTATAGTTGACAATTTATAAAATGGATACGTACAGCGTGGAACAACGTGTGCAGATAATTCAAGTTTATTATGAAAATGGACGTTCAAAAAAAATGTTTTTCGTAAATTGCATGAGTTTTATCAACGGCATAATCATCCAAATGAGTCAACAATATCAAGTATAGTGAGGAAATTTGAAGAGACTGGTTCAGCTTTAGACATAAAAACACCGATTCGTCAACGCCCAGGCCGCTCACAAGAGAATATTGCTTCAGTTCGTGAGAGTATTCACGACGATCCAAGAATGTCGATTCCACGGCGTTCACAACAGGTGCATATTCCACAAACCACTGTTTGGCGTATTTTACACAATGATTTGGAGTTAAAAGCATTTAAGATCCAATTTACACAATAATTGAAGCCCAGCGACCATGCAAACGTCATGAATTCGTTAATTTCATTGAGCAACAAGAAAAAGGATTTTCCAAAAAAAAATCATCCTTAGCGACAAAGCACATTTCAAACTTAATGGGTATGTATCAAACAAACTTGTATTTTGGGGAGGAAAATCAAAGAGTGGTTGTTGAACAAGGTTTACACCAACCAAACGTTACTGTTTGGTGTTGTTTTTGGAGTGGTGGAGTGATTGGCCCTTACTTCTTCGAAGATGATGCTGGACGTGCTGTTTCTGTGAATAGTCTTCGATACCGACAAATGTCTTCAAGAAATTGAAGAGCGGAACCGTAGGAAACAGAATATTATTATTTTTGGACTTACTGAAGATCAAAGTAAGACAAAGCAGGAACACAGCTCATGATACTCAAGAGGTTAAAAGTATATTGCAGTCCCTTTCTACAGAAATTGATACCAATGTCAGACTATTCAGGCTGGGAAAGTTTGATCCCACAAAGGATAGGCCTAGGCCGGTAAAGGTTTCTCTGCGGAACAATCAAGATGTCCTCTTATGCATTAAAAAATTCTGCTAAACTTACTCGTAGATCCGGTAACAGTAATACAAGAATAAGTATCTCTACTGACAGAACTCCAAAATAGCAGGAATTTTATAGAAAAGTCAAACATGAACTGGATCAGAGGATTGCTGCAGGTGAGAAGAACATCAGAATCAAATATGTAAAAGGTCTTCCAAAAATTGTTGCTAATTTAAACTGAATAGACCCAGCAGCGCTGAACTTCGAGCATATTATCAGAATGTTAGGGGCTTGAATTCGAAAATTGATGATTTATTTTCATCGGCAACCTTGAATGAATATGATCTAATTGGTTTAACAAAAACTTGGCTGTCCGACAAAGTACGTGACTCTGAAATTTTTCCTGGAAACTACAGTGTGTTTCGTAGTGACCGTGATTTTGTAAGAACAAATAAATTGTCTGATGGGGGTGTATTGTTGGCATGTAAAACTAGTTCTCTGGCAGAGCATGTTTTTTTAGATTTTTCTACTGATTATCCTTCCATTGACATACTATAGTTGCGATTAAGTGCAAGCTACCACTCCTCTGTTTGTTTATGTTATTTATATTCCACCAGACACTTCTAATGACACATACGAAAGTTTTTTGTCACACATGAGTACGTTAATAATCAATCAGCCCAACGTTTTGATACTTGGCGATTTTAATGCCCCCGGATTCGTATTTAGTCTCCATGCAGATTTTCGTTATACAACGCTATCTAATTTTTTGGATCTTACCAACACCATCCAATCTAACCTGATATTAAATGCGCTGGGGCGATTGCTGGATTTAGTCATAAGCACTGAAAGTGTACCATGTATTATTTCTATTGTAAATCAAGTAGATCCTCACCATCCACCTTTAAGTATCCTATTTACCATACAGCTGTCTAGTAGGTCTAACTTGTCCCCAAATATTGAACCTACATCACTGATGTATAACTTCAATAAGGCGTCCTATGTTGGCTTATATAATGCTTTGAGTTATATTGACTGGTCCTTTTTACGTAAAATTACTGATGTTAATGAACTATGCGATACATTTTATGTTAAAATTTTTTCAATATTTGATATTTATGTTCCTAAATATACCAACACCTGCAAATTCAGGTATCCTCCTTGGTATACTGGAGAAATTATAAGTAACATAAATTTGAAGGATTATTACTACAGAAAATGTAAGAGAACATGCAATGTTTACCATTACAATGAATTTTCTAGATTGCGCAGAATCATAAAGGGGCTAGTTAGAGTTGCTTACAGTGAGTACTTGTCGTCGGTTGAGGACAGTATAATCAACAACCGAAGAAGTTCTGGTCATACATTCGGAAGAGAGACTGTAGCAGAATACCAGGCCAAGTCCAGTTCAACGGCAACGTATTCAATACTCCACAAGGTGTTATTGATGCATTTGCCGACTATTTTAAGAGTGTGTATGTTACTCCTCGAAATATTCCCTCTTCTTTAGTTAGTGTCACTTCAACACCAAGTATTTATCTAGAGGTATTAACGGAAGCTGATGTACTGAACTCTCTCACTAAGCTTCAAAATAAACTTACGTCTGGTAGAGATCAAATACCTAGTTTTATTATTAAAGATTGTGCTCATGTTTTCGTCAAGCCGATGCTGATAATTTTGAATGCTATATTAAAGAGTGGAATTTTTCCTGATGTTTGGAAAATAGCTAAGGTGTGTCCGGCCCTGAAAGATGGTGATAAATCTGATGTACTTAACTATAGAGCTATAAGCATTTTGAACAACTTTGCAAAGGCTTTTGAAATGGCCATTTACTCTTTTATCTTCGAGAACGTTAAAAGCCTAATTACTCCATCACAACATGGTTTCATCAAAGGTAGATCCACTACGTCAAATTTAATGACAATTACGCAGTATATAGCAGAATCGTTAGACAAGAAACAACAAGTCGATGTTATTTACATGGATTTCAGCAAGGCTTTCGATAAATTAAACCATCATCTTCTTGTGGATAGCCTTCATTATTTCGGCCTTAGTGACTCGTTAGTCAGTCTTTTAAGCTCATATCTTT